AAACTTTTTTTTTACACAAAGTTGTCATTTAAATATCCCGCACAAGCCATGGGTATATGTGGAATTACACCCCAAAATACATTCTGCTACTTCTACCGAGTATGGGGATACCGCATGTGTGAGACTGTTTGGGAGCCTAGCCACATACAGGAGAATGAAATCCAATGGCCACTTTGAAAGCCTGAAGGTGTGTAACTTCCTTATTTCACTTTCTCACTACCTATCACAATTTTGGAGGCCCTGAAATGTCAGTATAGCACCAACCCCCCCCAAATGACCCCGTTTTGGAAAGTAGACACCCCAAGGAATTTAAAGAGGCATGGTGAGTATTTTGCAGATTTCATTTTTTCTCACAAGGTTTTGAAATATAAAAAAAAAAAAAGAAAAAAAATGTTTTTGTTTTTTTCTTCATTTTCCAAAAATTTGTGGCAACAAACGAGATCTGCAAAATACTCACCATGCTTATCAAATTCCTTGGGGTGTCTACTTTCCAAAAAGGGGTCATTTGGGGGGGTTTGGTGCTATCCTGGCATTGCAGGGCCTCCAAAACTGTCGCTCACATGTGGTAACCCCCATACTCGGGAGAAATAGCAGAATGTATTTTGGGGAGTAATTCCACATATACCCATGGCATGTGTGAGCAGTAAATCATTTAAGTGACAATTTTGCAAGGATCATCCCATCAGGATCTTTGTGAATTCATCCATGCAGAAGAATTCAATCCATTAAAGTCACGTTTTGGTCAGTCTTTCATTCGTGTTGTGTAGAGAACTGGTAAGGCTTTCCATTTGCTTAATGTCTTCAACTTTGATAATCCATTGCCTTAGTGGAGGAATACATGCCCTAGCAGTGTTAACCAAGAGTCTCACCCCCACGTTCAGCTTTAACATAATTTTCCTCCTAATCTGCGGAGACAGTTCTCATTTGTCTTTTGTTATCCATATTCAGTGTGGTGCACATGATGATATTAAACTCCACAGTAACCACTTTTCTCCATTTAAATAGGCTGACTGACCAATTAAAAAATGTAAGATACTGTATGTGATACTAAAAAACAGAAGATGTCCCGGCCATTTAAAAAAAAAAAAAAAAAAACATTTTTTTTCTTTTGAAACTTGCTTTGCTTTACTTCATGACATACCAAAGGTAGCAGGTATACATGGGACAATAGTTTTTTAATTGGTCCAGTTAACTTAAGGGGGTAGGGGTCAACAAATTTATCCTTGTCTGTAGATTTTTTTTTTTAAATGCAGCTCCTGCCCAATTACCCTCACTCCCCTTATTACTGCGTCTCCCTCACTCTTCAACACCGCTTACAGGACTGCCCCCCACCACCCTGCTTTCACCATACCCATTCTAACTTGCCCCACCTTACCCTCCCCATTTCACCACCACCCCTACATGACTCCCCCAGTCTTTGTCAATACACTAGCACATACAGTTACGTCCATATATATTTGGACAAAGGTGCAATTTTAGTTTTTATCAGGTATTTACCAAAACATATTAAGCTATAGTTATACAATGGATATGGGCTGAAAGTGCACACTCTCAGGTTTATTTTGAGGGCATGTACATCCAAATTGGAGGAAGGGTTTAGGAATTACAGCTCTTAAGAGTAGCCTTCCCCCATTTTTTTCAAGGGACCAAAAGTAATTGGACAATTGAATCAAAAGCTGTTTCATGGCCAGGTTTGGGCTGCTTCATTATTTCTTCATCAATTAAGCAGGTAAAAGGTCTGGAGTAGATTCTAAGTGTGGTATTTGTATTTGGAATCTATTGCTGTGAACCTACATCATGCATTCAAAGGAGCTGTCCATGCAAGTGAAACAGGCCATTGTAAGGCTTCAAAAACTAAACCAATCCATCAGAGAGATAGCAACATTAGGAGTGGCCAAATCAACAGTTTGGTATATTCTGAGGAAAGAAGAACGCACTGGTGAGCTCAGCAACATAAAAAGGCATGGACATCCACAGAAGACAACAGTGGTGGATGATCGCAGGATCCTCTCTATGGTAAAGAAAAACTCATTCACAACATCCAGACAAGTGAAGGACACTCTCAAGGAGGTGGGTGTATCATTGTCAAAGTCTACAATCAAGAGAAGACTTCACGAGAGCAAATACAGAGGGTCCACCACAAGGTGCACACCATTCATAAGCTTGAAGAATAGAAAGTTCAGATTAAACTTTGCCAGACCAGTTCTGGAAAAGCATTCTTTGGACAAATGAAACTAAGATTAATCTGTACCAGAATGATGGGAAGAAAAAAGTGTGGAGAAGGCTTGAAACAGCTCATGATCCAAAGCACACAACGTCATCTGTAAAACATGGTGGAGGCAGTGTGATGGCATCGGCATGCATGGCTTCCAGTGGCACTGGGTCATTGGTGTTTATTGATGATGTGACAAAAGCAGCCGGATGAATTCTGCAGTGTTTAGAGGTATACTGTCAGCCCAAATTCAGCCAAATGCAGCAAAGTTGATTGTCAAGCACTTCACAGTACATATGGACAATAATCCAAAACACACTGCAAAAGCAACCCAGGAGCGTTTGAAGGAAAAGAAGTGGAATATTCTGCAATGGCCTAGTAAATCAACTGATCTCACCCCAATTGAGCATGCATTTCACTTGCTGAAGGCAAAACTAAAGGCAGAAATACCCACAAACAAAGAACAATTGAAGACAGCTGCAGTTAGAGCCTGGCAAAGCATCAGAAAGGAGGAAACCCAGTCTTTGGTAATGTTCAGGGGTTCCAGACTTCAGGCAGTCATTGCCAGTAAAGGATTCTCAACAAAATATTAAAAATGAACATTTAATTTATGATTATATTCAATTGTCCAATTACTTTTGGTACCTTGAAAAGGGGGGATGGCTGCTCTTAAGAGCTGTAATTCCTATGAATCCCTTCCTCCAATTTGGATGTACATACCCTCAAATTAAACCTGAGAGTGTGCACTTTCAGCCCATATCCATTATATAACTATAACTTGAATATGTTTTGGAAAATACTTGAAAACAACTAAAATGGTGCCTGTGTCCAAATATATATGAACCTAACTGTATTCCCTCCTCTTACCTCTTTGCCTTTCAGCTTTGCATAATCTCCCTCCAAATCTTTCTACTTTGCCTGCATGCTCCATCACTGCACTTGTACGCAACCCTCCTTGCTACCACTACACCAGTGTTTCTCAACTCCAGTCCTCATGGACCCCCAACAGGTCATGTTTTCAGGATTTCCCTCAGATGAAACAGCTGTGGTAATTACTAAGGCAGTGAAACTGATCAAATCACCTGTGCAAAATAATGGAAATCCTGAAAACATGACCTGTTGGGGGTCCATGAGGACTGGAGTTGAGAAACACTGCACTACACTGACGTACATAACCCTCCTTGCTTCCACCAAACTGGTGTGCATTTTATTTAGTTGCTTACACTGCACGGAAGCACACTTATCACTGTATGATGATAAAGAAAATCAGCAAGCACTAACAGAAATAGCAGCTAAATGCACCAGAAAATGGAACTACAACGTCCTCTCAATAAAATCAAATATGCCAAAGAAAAGTGCAGCGCGTATAATAAACCAATCAATATTCATCTAAAGCCTCATAATCGCCAATCAGAATAAAAATCCATCTAAAATATCATGATCCTCATATCAAATTAAAATCATAATCATCAGTTAAAAGGTAGTATAGATAAACAAAAAGGTAAACATATGTGAGTCCAATATGTTAGCTCTGTAACGTGAAGGTGCTATTCAAAATCCAGCAGGTTGTGTGCATAAATTCTGGAAATCAGGAATCAAACCATAAAGTGGGAAGTGCTTAACATCCGGTGGTGTGCGATAGATTAGTAGGATTGCAAACTCACCAGAAGCGCAATCTTAATGCGCATTAATCAGTATTTGCCAGCCTGGAGATCTCCCTTCACTGGAACCTGGTCTGGTCTTGGAAACCTTTCCCTCTGATGGTATGGGCGTATAGGTGAGGTTAATCAGAGGTCCCTCTCATGGACGGTAAGAAATTGTCTGGTCATAGGGGAATTAATCCATCCTCCAAGTTGGATGAGACCTGGGTCCTGGGGGTTTAAGTGCGTTTTCTTTTTTTCCTTCACTATACAGTAGTTCAGAAATTCAGCAGTTACTTTACCCCACCCGCGCCATGTTTTATCCCTGGGTACTTCTCTGTGCCTCCAAATCCGGTTCCCAGATCTCAATTACTTCCCTCTACACTTATCACTATAACATGCACTTATACATTTACTGCCACTACACCCAATGAGCCCAAGCTACACCCAAGAAGCCCAAAGCGATAGTAAACCGACTAAAAACATTTTAAAAAAAAATATCCCCTGCAAAATAATAGCATAATGTGCTAGTATGCATTGCATACTAGCACATTTATGAAAGACTTACCCTAGAACGAAGCCCTCCAGGTGCATACTGTCACCGGTGAGAGGGCTTTCATTTTCACCTGGTCTTCCTAAGCTCTGGCCGCTTAATTGGCATGCGCATGGGAGTCTTGGCCGTGGCACAGAACTTTGACATTACCGGCTACAGGGACACTGAATATCTCCTAAACAGTGCATGTTTAGCAGATATTCCTTGTATCTACAGGTGAGCTTTATTATAAGTGTCCACTTTAAACCATGTTTCTAAATACATCCTTCGCACTGTAGTTCTGTTGTTTACCACTGTAGACCTTGCAGATGCACTACAATTGGTCTAAAATTGTTTTGGGTTTACTTGGACTTACTACTTTTGGTATGCATGGAACCCTCAGCCACCACAGCTAAAACAATGCAAAAGTATAGCTTCTGATTTTATTTATTTGCCTACAGTACATTCTGTGAACAGGGCACATTTGATTTCTAGTTAGATTAGTGCCACCATACGATGATTGCAAATTGATAGTAATGTACTGTGAAATTTAGATTATCCTGTAATTTGGAGGTCAGGTACAGATATTAATTACAATGTTGTCTTTTTCTTCTAGCATATATTTTGTGAGGAATGCATCTCATTGTGGTTCAATAGAGAGAAGACCTGCCCCCTGTGCCGTACTGTGATTTCTAGCCATAACCACAAGTGGAAAGATGGCGCCACATCACTACAGCTACGCCTGTTCTAGTCTTACTTCATCTGCTGTTCTACTGTTGATTGAATTTTCATCTTCTCATTACATTTGTTTCACCACACGTATGCTTAAATCATCAATGTATGTTCTGTTCTGTTAGGAGGGCTAGATATTCTAATTTGGGTTTTCTTTGCATTCATTTTTTTATATGTAAAATATGGTTTTCATCCCTTTGCAGATGTAGGACCTTGTTTAAAACAGAATTCCAGCTAAACACATAATTGAAGTGTTGCACCTGTGAAAATAGTTTCAGCTCTGTTCAATCCACAATCCTGCAACACAACATAGTAACCTGGATTGTCAAATGAATATGCACTGCTACAGCTTCTGTGCCAGCATCCTGTCTTCATCTTTATGTCTTACTTGTGCCCCCCCCCCCACCCCACCTGTAAAGCTGGCCATACACTGTGCAAATTTCAGACCGTTCTTGATGAACCGCCAGCATCTTGATGTGTATGGCCTCATCACTTACCTCCCACTCAATATCCTTCAATTGTAAAATTGAAGGAGCTAGGTGGAAAATTGTAGGCAGAACATGGGTTGCATGCAGTGAGATGCAGTTTTCGGAATACAATAGCTTGGCGGGGAGGGCATTTGTCCCTTTGTACAGTATACTGTGGAAGGAGGAATCTGATACATTTTTTTTCATTCAGCCTGCAGGATGAATAAAATAAAATCATGTATTTTATTTTAATAATGTATGACCAGCTAAAGCAGTATAAACATTTTCTGCTTGAGACTCAAGTGTCTGATTCATGCTAGATTAGCAGCAAAGTGAGAAGCAATAGAACCTGATTGGTTTGCAGTGCGTAACCTCCCACTTGACTTAATTTCTGCTGTGCAGGAAAAATAAAGAGACACGTATCAGAAATTGATATTAGCAGTATTTTCAAATATATATAAAATTGACTTTAAAGGAATACATAGATGCACAAAGGGCTGGGTTTTTTTTCTTATTTGCCTGCTTAAGATTTATCAGCATGAAAATATGTAAGATTTAGAATCCATCCAATAATGGTTAAATATTAGAGATACATCTGATCAGATTGCTATGAAAAATGTATGACAAGGAAGTACACGTTTTGCTAGGAAATTATTTTTGGCAGTATATAGATATGAAGGGGGGCTTTTGGAAAGTGGTGATTGATTTAAACCAAAGACTTCTTCTGTTTTTAAAGTTCTTATTTTTGAATGAATTAATTATCTGCCATTTTTTTGGTTTTTTTTTTTTATTTAGAATGTAGCTGGTGGTGATTTTATCACATTTGCAGTAATCTCCTTAAAAGTTAATTGATTTAAAAAAAAAAATCCCTGTCTAATATGTCATGTAGTTGAAATGCAGTTTTTTTTTTCCCATGTAGGCCTTATTATTATTATTTTTTATTTTTAATATTCCTTTATTCCTTGAATTTTAGCCCCATCTTTTTTGGAAACTGATGACAACTAGAACGGATGTTTCATGACACTAATAAATGCTCTTATCCCGATTATTTATTGAAACAACCAAAGCACAGCCATTCAGGTTTTTTTTTTTTTTTTATGTTTGTGTGTGCACCTTCCACTTTTCCTGTCCTTTGTGAACGGACACAACTCTCTGGCGAACCAGCATTTTAAGAGATGTTCTGTACAGACTTGCAGAATGTCTGCATTGGATGGTATAAATCCATGCTTTACTAGCTGGCATCCAGCCAAACTGAATCAGTGCTATTTTTCAGACTATACTGAACATAGCTTTTATTCTGAGCACAAATCATAGCAAAGATCTTGAAATAGAGATATATTATAAATATATATTTTGGGGTTTTTTCTATTCTTGGATTGCAACTTTTTACAATCGTTTTTGCTGCCCACTTTGAAACAGAATGTATTGTGATAAAACACATTTTTCATTGAATGAGTTTACTGAAAACTGATTTATGTATCTAGTGCATGTGTGGGGGATATGAAAAAAATGTGTTTATTTAAAAAGAACGATTTAAATAAAAGTATTTTTCTCTTCTCAACAGTGTGGCATCTGGCTAATATAGAACCTGATTTATGAATAAAGTTTTAACACAGTGCTTCACATTTCCGTACTAATGAAATGGTTTACAAGTAAACTTGAAAATGCATAGTTTTGGCTATCCTCCTTAGGTAAAAGACATACTTTTTTCCTCACTGCTGGTGGTGCCATGGGCATAGGAAGCACTAGTTGCTATCAAGCTGGTAATGTAAATGTATTTGGCCATGTTTTCATCATGCAAAACCCAGTTTACAGAAAACTATCTGATACTTAACGTAACTCCTTTCCTGGCGTCTCCTCATGACAGCATACTCTGGGGTCAGAATAATATATTTTTCCCCAGTGTTCCATTATTAGACTCTCAACATGGCACGGGGAGGCAATTGTGCTGTCATGAGGAAATTGCCAGGAAAGGAAAATTTCAGTAAGTATCTGATAACAATTTTCTATATTGCTGGCTTTCCTCATGACAGCATACTCTGGGACATAACTAGCAAGAAAAATAAAGTCAAAGGGAGGGGGAAAAAAACAAGAAAATGACAAAAAACATAAAAGAAAATACTGCCTAACAGTCGATTTACTTTTGGGAACAAGCAGAGAAAAGAACTGTTTTCCCAAACTGACTGTGAGAAGATGACAATGGCAAGTTTTTATTGCTTAATAAAGACATTTGTTGACCTTCAGCTGGCTGGCTTGCATATTGTAAACACCTTCTGGTGTAAGACCTAAGAGATTGCTACTTCCCTCATTGAATGAGCTCTAACTTCCATTAGCAAGCCCTTAACTGACTAAGCATAGCGAACTGTGCTTTTAATGAAAAATGCAATAATTCTAGACTAAGCAATTTTGTCTCTTTTGGACTTTAGCAAAATACAAAAAATTTTATTTACACGAAAGACAGGCACACTCTTTGTGGATTAAAGTGATGCCAATGTTTCTGAAGCAAAAAAATCTCTCCTGCATGGTACGTGATAAGAAGCTGTTAAAATAATTTATTAACAGAGAAAAGAAAGTCCTCCTCGGCCAAAATGATATCACGACTCAAATTCCCTGATGAGCTTCAAGAGGGTCTTCAAAATTAAAGTTGTCAGTGGAAACACATAAGCTATTGTGGAATTCCAGCTGATTGAGAAAGTGTCCTGGGCCATTGCTTAACAACTGGAAAATTGGAAACAAAATAGAGAAAGAAAGAGACGTTCTTAGAGTCGACATTTTCTGAAAATTGGCTGAAGATACCATAAATTTAAAGTCTACTTCTTCCAGTCTGGAAACTCTCAGCTCAGCCTGTCTGCAAATGTATATTTTCTCTGCCCCAGAGGTAGGATAATGTTAAGGCCTAGAGCTGTTCCTCCACCCATGGAAAAATGCCAACTGATACCCTCAAAAGGGAAGACTCTGTGCTGCCTGGACTGGATACATAAGCTACTGCCAACTTGTTGCCCATGAGCATCAAGTTACAAAAACCACACAAGAGACTGGGAAAGAGCTTTCAATGCCTCTGTTGTAGCCATGAGTTCCAAAATGTTGGACTGATGAGGGAGATGCCCCAGGCAATGACCCCTCTCCCAACACTGGGGACTGGTATCAGAAGAAGCAATGGTCCAATCTCCAGGACTGAATTGAGGGGCACCTTGAGACAGTCTGTCCTGCAGTGGCCACCATTTCAAATCTTGGAGGAGGAAATTAAGTATGCAGATTCTTCAATCCATAGCTGCTCAATCCTGTTGGAGAAGAAAACACATTTGAAGGCACCTCATATGCCACCAGGCCCACAGAACCACCACCATTGCCTCCTTCATAATTCCCAGTAGTACTAACAGTATCATTCTGACAGCATATCTATTGTGTGACTTTCTGGTGAAGTAGAAAAATCTTTCCCCTGGTTGTGTTGAAAAGAATGCCTAAATATTCAATTTCCTGCTGTGGAGACAGCTGGCTCTTCTGATAATTTAACAACCATTTAAATCTTGTCAAGGACTGTAACACTAAGCCCTTGTGTTTCATCAGGATCTGTGTAAAATTTGCATCGTGCAGATAATTATACATTGTCATATTGAGTCATAGACAGGCTATCACAGAGACAAAAATCTTAGAAAACATCCTTGGGCTGTGGATAACCCAAATAGAAGATAAGTAAACTGGTGGTGCAGATCATATACTGTAGATACTTCTTGTGACTGATAGCCAACAGTAGATGAAGGTAAGCATTGGCAAGATCCACCAAAATCATCTAGTTATTCTTCCGCACTATTGTCTGCAAGGATTCCATGCAAAAATGGTTGTTCCCTACAAACCTCTTACTCCTTAGCAGCTGCTCCTCAGTAACCACACTGCCAGATTTAACGTTTCCACCTGTAAACATAGTACTAGACCCTGCAAAAGTAGATCATCTACAAGGCAGCTTTCAAGGTTACACTGTCAGACTGTTCAGGACTGAAAACCAAGCTCTGCTGAGCTGATGAGGGCAACTAGCATCAACCAGGTCCATTCTTCCTGAAACTTTGGCACAAAAGTGAGGGGGAAAGCATAACACCTCACTTACACCACCTCCCTCCACGCTGCCAAACAAGCCTATTTCGTAACCCTCATCACCCTCTCCACCTGTCCTCGCCGGCTCTTCACTTTCAAATCCCTGCTCTCTCCCCACCCACTTTCACTCAGCACCTCACTCACCGCCCACGAGATTGCCAAACATTTCCAAAACAAGATTGACACAATCCGTAAGGACATTGTCAATTCACAATCCACCTAGCCTCCCTCCCTCCATCACCCCCTCTACTCTCCCCTCCTCTGACCTGGCAGCCGCATTGCCCCCCACCATACTTAACGCCCCGCACACTACCACCTCCCCAACGCTCCGCTCCCTCAGCCCTGCTACCACTGAGGAGGTCACTAAGTTCTTCACTGAAGCCCGCCTCACCACTTGCCCCCTGGACCCTATACCCTCACAGCTCCTCCACACTCCTTCAGCGTCACCTACAACGCTGCCACC